GATTACAGCTGATGCGTTTAGCTGTGCGAGCTGTCCGATTCCGCTTTGTATTCCGCTTGTGTGTATTAGTGAGTTCACTGCACTCAGTGCAGTGCACTGCACTGACCGAATTGTCGCGACAGGGAAATGAATATCCAGCAATGCGTGTATGTACGAATGTTTTAGCACCGAATTGTGCTTAAACGCCGAAAATTTGCTAAGACTAATAAATGTCGATCGCGAACGATTATTAATTGACACTGCAATTTAGAGATCACGTCGGGGTCACCAAATTTTATGTGGAGATAATTATACCCGATACTCAAAATGAGTATTGGGGTATATTAGATTTGTGGTAAAAGTGGATGTATGTAACGTCCAGAAGGAATCGTTTCCGACCCCATAAAGTATATATTTGCTTGATCAGCATCAATAGCCGAGTCGATTGAGCCCTGTTTGTCTGTCCGTCCGTCCGTCTGTCCGTCCCTATTAGCGCCTAGTGCTCGATGTTTTGGATCCAGACTTGTGTGATATGTCACTGCTACAGGAATATTTCAAAACTTCGCCCCGCCCACTTCCGCCCCCACAAAGAACGAAAATCTGTAGCATCCACAATTTTTGTGGATGAAAACCTTTTTGACTGCAGAATCTGAATTGGATCGTATCATTATTATAGCCAGCATCAAGAAAACAATTTCATTTTTTTTTCGCCCTGTCTCTCTCTAACACACACGTAGCATAGCCGGCTTTGCTTAGCGTAAAACATTAGCGCCTAGATCTCAGAGACTATAAAAGCTAGAGAAACCAAATTTGGTATCCGCACTCCTGAGATATCGGACCTTGACCGTTTTGTGTCAAAATTTCGACACACCCCCTTCCACAAATCTCGGAGACTATTAACGCTAGAACAACCAAATTTGGTATCCGCACTCCTGTTAGATCTCACTATAAAGTGTATATCTCAGAATTTCGCCCCACCCCCTTTTGCCCCACGAAGGACGAAAATCTGTTGCATCCACAATCTGGATCGGATCATTTTTATAGCCAAAAGGAACAAATCAATTTGCACTGGCTACGCAGCGCCCGACGTCACGGTCAGACTGATTTTCTGTCTCTCTCGCACGCACTCTTTGTCGCGTCGCTTAATATTAGCGGCGTCTGCCGAAAGAGAGCCATACTGTCGAGGTATCGGGTATAAATGTAGAGTTGCGGTCTCCGCAGCAACTCACAACGTTCCTCCCCGTTTCCTTTTTTTTTTTTGGTTGGTTTTTTTCTTTTGTCAAGCCTTTGTGATACACAACATTTTTTTTCTTTTTATCGCTGAATGTGTACTAAGCGCAAATCTAGAGAGCAGCTGAACCGATTTGGCTGAAAATTGGTAGAGAGGTAGATTAGATTCAGAAGACTGCTATAGGATAATTTGTATCCCGCTGTGTGTCACAGGCACCGGCTTGGCTGTGTTTTTCGAAGCATGAAATCATTATTTGAATTGTGTATCAAAACTGAAACGTTTACGCGTTTTTTTGTTTTGAATTTTTTAAAAATTATGTTAGTAATTTGTATTCTTTTTAATGCCTCTTTAAAAAGCCGTAATTCAAAAGGATACGAAATATAGGGATACAAACTACTGAAGAAGAACAAAAAGTACTCCCTCGACATGCTCTCCATCGAACCCAGCTAACCTCTGATACAAATACAGAGATTATATGTCAGAAGATATTTTAGATCAAAATCGTGTAAGTTCCGGAAATCCCGATCTTGAAATTAATGAATGACGCATTTAATCGAGAATTGAAACGGGAACGTAAATATGATCAAATATGTTCAAGTAAATGTACCCCTCTTAAAGTTTATGATAATGAAGGAAATTGATTATGAAAACTGGTGGCTTATATTTCCTGGATGCCCCTGATGGAACTGGTATGACATTCCTCATGTCAATGGTTTTAACCACTTTTCGTGCGAGATCCAATATTGCGGTTACAGTTGGCTCAGTCAGCAATAAAATTACTGTTTAATTTTCAAAATATTGAGGAACCTATATGTAATATTGTAAAAAACTCTGCAATGGCCAAAGGTTCGTTAGCATAAACGTGCTTTAGAAGCACTTAACCGAACATAGGCGATTTCCGCCAAACACTGCCGGTAATTCCAAGGCCTTGCCTAAAATCATCGAATCTATAGCGCTTTGTGACAGCAAACATGAGAGTTGCATTGCAAAATGATAAACCTAGTGAAAATTTCTCAGAGCAAGTGCTGACTATCGGTAATGGTAGAGTACCTATCGACGAATCGAGCGGATTCATTCGAGCTCATCAACAAAGTATTCCCAAAATTTGGTCGTAGTTAGTATCTTTCTCGTAGTTAATATTAGTATTTATATTTTGAATGCATGCTTAATTTTTCTAACAAGTTTAGTTCTACTTTTACTCGAATATAAGTCTAACGGCTATTTTTTATGCATGTTCGCATTCGATTCGGTTAACGCGCTGTGCGTCATGCGGCAGTGTCCCTCGGTCGGTTGGGCAGGAGGTGTGCTGCGTTTTGCCTGGGTTTCGCCAGAACTTGCGAACATACGCGAAATAGAAGTCGACTTTGGCTTAGTTTGACTTTGCAACGGAATATTCTAAAGCGATTCATTTATTTTAAAAGTTGATTAATGTATGTTTCTATCGAGTATTTACACAATAAATTATTTCAATTTGTTAAGACCTTAAAAGAAAAGTCTAGACATTTGCGAGTTGAGTTGTAAATTCGACTAAATTTTATTCTTAAAATCAGAGCCTTATATGTGATTTCACAATGAGGCAAGAGGGACAATTTTGTATTATATAATTATCGTTAGACCTACGCAAAGAATACATTTTACTGCGGGTGTTTGTTTGACTGCATGCTTACTTTAGTGTTATTTTAGGATTCCATTGGTTAAGTGTGTTCTCCACTTGTGTTTTGTTGTAGTATTTTGTAATGGGTTGCAGATCTCTGTTTACACCCAAACAGTCATAGCTACTTGTGATTACTTTAGAGATCAGTTTTTTAATTCAATTAAAATTCAATTCAATTACAAACACTGTAGCCCGAGAATTTAATATATTTAAGCAATTCCAATAGGACGCAGAGGGGCAATTTGAGTCGTCAAACGATCAAGTCTAGAACCGTACGAGGTATAAGAGTGCGAATTTCAGGTGAAAAGATCCAAGAAAACAATGCAGATGAGCGTGTGCGCATGGCGCAGTTACGTCAAACAACAAACGTAGAGGAATTGACGAACAACGCCAACAATTTCATCGAGCATTTTAGACAAACACTTCCCGTTATTCCACATTCGTCATACGCTAATGAAATGATGATGAAACGCTTGCTTAAAATCATCGCGACTGTGGCGTACAGCTGACGGTGAACATGCGCGTTAAAATGCTTCAGGATCCATCCGCCGGAACATTCTCTAAACAACTGTTAGATATTGGCGATGGGAAAGTTTATGTACATCAAAATACTGGAACCATAAAATTACAGACAGACTTTTGCACAACCATCGACTCTCAAAATACTCTCATTGATAACATATTTCCCGATGTACACACACAATATGAAAATGATAATTGCCTGGCAAAAACAGCGATTTTGGCAGCAAAAAATGTGGACGTCAATGGGTTAAATCAAAAGATACAAAAGTTGTTGCCTGGGGACTTGGTGTCATACAAATCTATCGATATCAACGAAACTGTGAATTATCCAGTGGAGTTTTTAAACTCATTGGATTTGCCAGGCATGCCACCACACCATTTAGAATTGAAGGTGGGGTCTCGTTCGTTAGTTGAACCCACCACGGCTGTGTAACGGCACACGATTATTCATTAAACTAACTAACTAACTAATAAGAAGTGTTATTGAAGCCATAATTTTGAATGGACAGTTTCAAGGCGAAAATTTGTTGCTGCCACGAATCCCTATGATTAATACAGATGTGCGAATTCCCAATTAGATTAGCATTCTCTATGACGATCAATAAGACACAAGGCCAGACATTGTCGGTATGTGGCTTAGATTTGGAAAACCCATGCTTTTGCCACGGATAACTATATATGGAATATTGCAGTTTGCTTGTGTTAGCTAAAGACGGAATAACCAAGAATATTTAACACTCTATTGCGCTGAATATTGAATCTTTTTTGTTAAGTAATCTTATAATTGATAAGTAAATCCCCGCATACTTATAAAAGATAGTTATTTTTATTGAACTGAAAGTTTTTTCCTAGAAAAAATATACAATGCAAAACAACGTTTGCATCATATATTTTTAACAAAAAACTTAGTAGGCTGTTTGGAGAGACTTTGATGAAAACCTTTTATCAATAATCATCAGTCTTATAGGCAAGAATAGGCGACAGACGTAAACAAATATGGAAACAGGAAAAATTTCCCAAACGGTTCGAAACTTTTTTTATGAATTCTTTTTTAGTCATAAATTCATAAAATCGTCACATTTGCGAACAGTGATACCGAACGAAATATAAAATATATATAAATCATTGAGGCCTTTGCCGCGACTCAAAACGTTCCCGCTCGTGTTTTCATTGTTCTAATTTATATAGCTCTTTCTACTGTCAAGTGCAGATTATAGCAGTTGAAAAATCACGAAAACCGGTGGGCCTTTTTATACGAATTGCAAGAATTCCCATGCTCAGAGAAAATACACTTTTTTTTGTCAAAATGTTGCGAGTCGGGCACCGCACTCTCACAATTAACGAGAGGATTTAATTGGATTGAATAGGAGCTTTATGAAGAGTTGAAACAATTATGGAGTATGAAATCAAACGCCCATTGGAATTTCTTCAGTTTATCGTCAACAAAAATGTCTCTCAAAATGTACGGTTGCTAACGGGGAGCAAGGTTTTTTAAAATTGAAGCTAATCAAGATGTTCCTGAGATGTAATATTTCGCAAGAGAGGATCACATTTTTTGCTGTCATATCTGCCAAAAGCAAGATTGCTACTCATTTTGACTTATTGAAAAATTCGCTCAGGTCAAAGCACGCAGATTAAGTTTATTGTAATTAATATTTCGAAAACTTGGGTTACAACAAAAATTTCAAAATTTAAAATTAAATTAAAAAAAAAAGAAATGATAAAAAGTACTCCTCGTCTCATTTACGCCGTAATAACGAAGATTTATGGGTCGCCTGTGCAACTGCTCCATAACATTTACAATGACTTGTTGCCGTTGGCCTTCGACTTTAGGTACTTAAAACGATAGGTACCCTCCGGGTCGTAAATTTTCTCAAGACGCTCCCAGTCGTTAGGTCGATTATCAATAAGATGGCGGGTCACCTTCTCAGCGCCAATTTTTTGCTTTTCTGTACATTTGGTGCAATCAGTCAAAACTGCATCGGGTAAGATATCTTGAATTGTAATAGAAATTGGTGTAAAAAGAAAGAGAAAAACAGTTGGTGAATAAATAAATAATATTTACCCTTTAGCATTTTTGCATCGGGTGTACAGGGGCCGGCACTCTCCAGGCACTTGATATAGTTGTTAAGTAATCGCTCCTGGATCAATATCTCGTCCAAATCTACATTATCAAACTTTTCGTTGTAGACGCCATCTAACCGCGGGGCTAATGTGGTCAGCGGTGGATGCGGAAGTCCATTTATTTGGATGCAAAAAACGCACATTAACGTCACCACCACAGCAGTGCGAAACAAGATAATACCGGTACGCGACATTTTGAAATAAAGAAATTTTTCGGATTCCACTGTCAGTCGAAATAGGCGCAGCTTTTATAGTTTGCCCACCAGTCCCGTCTAGTGAGCGTGTTTATGTCTAATTTTAGTACTATCCAATTGACCGCAAATTAAATGAATTGGATTTTGAACTATTATTTTAATGCAGCAGCTGCACGGAATTTAAGAGGTGCATGCATGCAGTGTGTAAAATTCATAAGAACATTAACCGAAATCTTTGATTCTCTAGTAGGGTAGAATCTTTAATGACAGAAAACATATAAAATATTAGCGAACCCTTCGAACTTCGTCCTACCCAAATTAAACGCTTCTGCCATACAACATCCAACAATGGAGTTCGCCAAAAATTTGTTGCTTAAAGATGTAAGTAATTCATCAGTACTCTGATTTTTATACCCGATACTCAAAATGAGTATTGGGGTATATTAGATTTGTGGTAAAGGTGGATGTGTGTAACGTCCAGAAGGAATCGTTTCCGACCCCATAAAGTATATATATTCTTGATCAGCATCAATAGCCGAGTTGATTGAGCCATGTCTGTCTGTCCGTCTGTCCGTCCGTCCGTCTGTCCGTCCCCTTCAGCGCCTAATGCTCAAAGACTATAAGAGCTAGAGCAACGATGTTTTGGATCCAGACTTCTGTGATATATCACTGCTCCAAAAATATTTCAAAACTTTGCCCCGCCCACTTCCGCCCCCACAAAGGGCGAAAATCTGTGGCATCCACAATTTTAAAGATACGAGAAAACAAAAAACGCAGAATCGTAGAGAATGAACATATCTTTTAGACTGCAGAATCTGAATTGGATCGTATTACTATTATAGCCAGCATCAAGAAAACAATTTCATTTTTTCTCGCCCTGTCTCTCTCTAACACACAGGTAGCATAGGCGGCTTTGCTTAGAGTAAAACATTAGCGCCTAGATCTCAGAGACTATAAAAGCTAGAGCAACCAAATTTGGTATCCACACTCCTAATATATCGGACCGAGACGAGTTTGTTTTAAAATTTCGCCACACCCCCTTCCGCCCCCGCAAAGGATGCAAATCTGGGGATATTCACAAATCTCAGAGACTATTAAAGCTATAGTAACCAAATTTGGTATCCGCACTTCTGTTAGATCTCACTATAAAACCTTTATCTCAAAATTTCGCCCCACCCCCTTCCGCCCACACAAAGGACGAAAATCTGTTGCATCCACAATATTGCAGATTTGAGAAAACTAAAAACGCAGTATCATAGATAACGACCATATCTATCAGATTGCTGAATCTGAATCAGATCAGATCATTTTTATAGCCAAAGGAAACAAATCAATTTGCAGTGGCTACGCAGCGCGTGACGTCACGCTCAGACTGATTTTCTGTCTCTCTCGCACGCACTCTTTGTCGTGTCGTTTAATATTAGCGGCCTCTGCCGGAGGAGAGCCATACTGACTTAGTATCGGGTATAACTCTAGAGTTCCCCCTCGTTTTTTGTTTGACTTGTGCAGGGATGTCATGTCGATCGCTCAGCGCGCTGTATGTTTTACATGTGAGCAATAGATTCGTAATTCCGGGCCATTTCGGATTGCAATTGAGCTGAGCGCTCATGAATAAATCGGACGCCTGTAATTCCGCACGTACATCATCGCATCATGAGCGTACCCAGGCGCGAGTTTCCAGCATAAGTAGCTGGGAGAATGGTCAAACAACCGATGTTGGCGGAGTTTTATTCAGTACCAAATTTGAAATACACTTGTAGCAGTGAGATCTAACAGGAGTAGGGACACAAAATTTGGTTGCTCTAGCTCTAATAGCCTTTGCGATTTCTGGATGCCAAAGATTTTCGTCCTTTGCGGGGGCGAAAAAAGGTGGGGCGAAATTTTGAAATACACTTGTGCAGGTTCGATATCACAGGAGTGTGGATACCGAATTTGGTTGCTCTAGCTCTTATAGTCTCTGAGATCTACGCGCTCACTTTTGGCAATAGGCAAAGCCGATCATGATGCTGACCCGATACTCAAAATGAGTATAGGGGTATATTAGAATTGTGGTGAAAATGGATATGTACAACGTCCAGAAGGAAGCGTTTCCGACCCCATAAAGTATATATATTCTTGATCAGCAGGAATAGCTGAGTCGATTGAGCCCAGTCTGTATGTCCGTCCCTATGAGCGCCTAGTGTTCAGAGACTATAAGAGCTAGAGCAACGACATTTTGTATCCAGACTTTTGTGATATGTCACTGTTACAAGTATATTTCAAAACTTCTCTCCGCCCCCTTCCGACGCCACAAAAGACTAAAATCTGTGGCTTCTACAATTTAAAGATACGAGAAAGCCGAAGACGCAGAGTTGTAGAGAATTACTATATCTTCTAGACTGCAGAATCTGAACCAGATCGTATCATTATTATAGCCAAAATGAAGAAAACAATTTCATTCTCTCTCGCTCTGTCTCTCTCTAACACACACGGTGCATGGTCGGCTTTGCCTATCGCAAAAATTGCGCGCCTAGATCTCAGAGACTATAAGAGCACGCACTCTTTGTCGCTCAATGTAGCCATACTGGGTATAAATGTAGAGTTGCAGTCGCAGCAGTAACTCACAACGTTCCCCCTCTTTTCTGATCTGATAATGATTTTGTGGTGGTCAAAATGCTTTGTAACAACTCGGCTTGAAACAAATTGACCATTATTATGCTCATGCAAACAATTTTGCAATTGTTCTATCATTTCACGTTCAGTCGCAGTAAAAAATGCTCAGCGCTCATCTAGTTCAATTGCCGAATCAACAACGAAATAGATATAGATCTGAAGGAAATTATTCGTTTGAATGTTTGAAAGCAATTTTGAATGAACAAGACAAGAATTGTTCATTTTGATAATAAGATGCGATAACCTTATAACTCGGATTGTAGCCGGATTGGTCAACAGATTCGGTACCAAATGATTGCATTTAAAAACATCTGTTATATTTTTGTGTATACGGCAGGAAATGTTTTGATTAGATTATATTTCCATAGAGAAAGGAATACAATGGCTCTGGCGGATATGTCGAAACGGGCAATTTCCCTTCAATGCATTGCAATGCTTTTTTCTTATATATGTATGTAAACGGGGTGGTGTGTTGCAAGTACAAGTACAAGTATATGTACAAAATTTGAAAGCTCTAGCATTAATTTCGAGCTCTGTGCTAAAAAAAAATCTGAATTGCTGGCTATAGCATGATGGTATATAATATATTATAATTGCATCATGTTCTGGAACATAGTGCATTGCAGGGCTGACACACGATAGACAATGAACCGATATCAACGCGGCGAAGATTTTTGTGGACGATTGCTGAATCTTGTTCGAAAGCAGCGCCATTTAAGTCTACATTTCCGACTGGTCTTCTTCCAGTAACATTTTGTCGAATTTAAGGTAATTGTGCACCGCGAACCTGTGCAATATGGGCACGTCTCCTTTAATTTTCTTCTGCACGTTCCAGCCGTTCGCAATTGATGCTATACTTTAAATGAAGAACTTAATATTTCCATTTTATTACAGAGTCATTCCTGACTCGTTTTGCTATATATCTGAGTTTGGACTGGTAACAAAAAAAATTTCTTGCTAACAAGATGATGCTGATTACTACTCTGCTGATGCTACTCACACTGACGACTATCCACCATCCATTTCGGCGATGGTCCGTAAGGTTTTGCAGTTCCGAATATATCTCTAGTCCAACATTCATTTTGGATGTTCCGATGGTTTTCAAATGCAGCCCTAAACAACAATGAATGGCAATAAAAACTAGTTCGCGCCTAGACATATTTCAAATCTTAATTCCAATTTTAAATCCTTGACGACTAAAAAATGAAAAATACGACAGACAAAATACGAAATGGAGAGATCTGAAATTTGGCGTAATAAGTAAACAACTACATATATACATACATATTTATGTATGTCTTTACTTTCTTTTTTTATGATTAGTATTTTGTAGCTATTAAAAAAACAAACAATACACGCAAGTCGAAATGGATGGCATATAATGAAAATCTCTCTATAAACATTTGGCATGATAGTACTGCGGATTTGCGGGGGTCCCGAAATAATTCCGTTAACGTCGACCGCGACAGATTCAAGTACGGCTCTAATATTACTTCTGAAACCAAGGCTCCGCACCAATGCGGATTAACTGGCAAATCTTCTGGAGGAAAAATATGCCAATAGCCTCTGCACACTGAGCCCATCCCGGGGGAATGGTGTGATTTTTTGACAGATGTGAAATTCCGATTAACACTGGCACCATCCACCATCCGTCAAAAACAGCTGATGGCAATAAAAAGTACATTATATTTGCGCGGAAGATTTATAAATTTTTTTCTTACAATGGATGATGAATATGTAGCAATTCTTTCGGCCGTGTTTCAACAGCAAAATATGCGAACAGCCCGACAGTTCTGGTGATTTTACTCAGTCGGCAGAACAGATACGATCTGCAATCGCAAAATATTGTTTAGACCATAATGCAAATTATAAACTTATTTATATTTCTCAGCACTTCCAATAAATCAGTCTGGAACTTTTTTTGCGTGTGGAGGCTATCTTTTCCTGCCTCATATCATGTTCTTCTTCCTGTGAAGGTCCTTCTGCTCTTCTAATCGCTCTCTGGCGATCTCTGCTTTGTCGGGGGCCTTTGTTGCCAGAAAAGGTGCTAGAGCTACATGATCCGTCCAGATCCAACTCGATAATGTTCGAAAATAACTCATTATTAAAGAATTAAAGCACGCAGATTAAGTTTATTGTAATTAATATTTCGAAAACTTGGGTTACAACAAAAATTTCAAAATTTAAAATTAAATTTAAAAAAAAAAAACCAAATGATAAAAAGTACTCCTCGTCTCATTTACGCCGTAATAACGAAGATTTATGGGTCGCCTGTGCAACTGCTCCATAACATTTACAATGACTTGTTGCCGTTGGCCTTCGACTTTAGGTACTTAAAACGATAGGTACCCTCCGGATCGTAAATTTTCTCAAGACGCTCCCAGTCGTTAGGTCGATTATCTATAAGATGGCGGGTCACCTTCTCAGCGCCAATTTTTTGCTTTTCTGTACATTTGGTGCAATCAGTCAAAACTGCATCGGGTAAGATATCTTGAATTGTAATAGAAATTGGTGTAAAAAGAAAGAGAAAAACAGTTGGTGAATAAATAAATAATATTTACCCTTTAGCATTTTCTTTCGGCACAATTCTTTCGGCCGTGTTTCAACAGCAAAATATGCGAACAGCCCGACAGTTCTGGTGATTTTACTCAGTCGGCAGAACAGATACGATCTGCAATCGCAAAATATTGTTTAGACCATAATGCAAATTATAAACTTATTTATATTTCTCAGCACTTCCAATAAATCAGTCTGGAACTTTTTTTGCGTGTGGAGGCTATCTTTTCCTGCCTCATATCATGTTCTTCTTCCTGTGAAGGTCCTTCTGCTCTTCTAATCGCTCTCTGGCGATCTCTGCTTTGTCGGGGGCCCTTGTTGCCAGAAAAGGTGCTGGAGCTACATGATCCGTCCAGATCCAACTCGATAATGTTCGAAAATAACTCATTATTAAAGAATAAATTATGCATAACATAAAGCAATTACAGAGCATAAAAATATTTGTTCTATGTTGGCAGTCGTCTGCCATTTATTCGCCACACACTTGCAACTGCAGCCTGGCAGACCCGGCCATGCCGCATTCAATCTCATCGCCAGCCTTGAATGCATCCGAGCCATTGGGCATGATTGTTGTTGTTTTTTGTTTATTTTGTCACAATCATTGTTTACGTTTTCGCAGTGATATCATTTTTTAGATGTGAGTGACAATTATTCAGAGTTGCATTTGAAAACCATCGACTAACTATCGCATAGAAACGTGCGGTTTAGGAACATCCAAAATGGATGGTGGACTAACTGGGAAATTTTCGGAACGGCAAAACCTTACTGACCATCCCCGAAATGGATGGTGGATGGTCGTCAGTGTGAATACCCTATAAGTGTGCAGAGCCTATTATTATATGACGCACAAATTTGAGCAAATTGGATGAAACGTCACTGACAATCCATTTCCTACATTCCCACTTTGACTTTTTTCCACCAAACCTACCTGACGTTAGTAATGGAAAAATGCTCAATACTAGACCTCAGAATTTGCATATTTTTAAAGGATTAAGATAGAAAAATTCTGATGACAGAAGTTCGTTTCATGAAAAGTAGATTTGAAAACGATCTGCATATTTTCATAAAATTTATATGCATAATATATGCCAAAATATGCAAAAAATTAAGAAAAAGCGAAGTATATGCCAATTATGCAAAAAATATGCAACAAAATAATCAAATCAAAAAAAATTTAAAAGCGATTTGGAGGTTGTATAGGTATTGAAATTGCAGTAAACAAATACAATTTTTTCTAAATTATTTATTAAGACGCTCTGACGTTTCTCTCCAAAAATCATTTAGTACGCGGAAAAGCTTCTTTCAACGTCACAGGAAGTAATTGGAGCAAATTTATATTTTACTATATTTTCATTTGTGACTGGTTCGATTCCAGACTATTTATTTTTGAAATGATTTTAAAATCAGGATTTCTTTTCAAAATTGCTTCAAATTTCTTTTTTAAATCCATTCCAAAATCACCAGTTATCTTATAGACTATTATCTATTTTCAGCTTCCTTGAATAAGTCCATTGACTTTGCTAATGTTATTAGCTTCTCTTTGTCCTTCTCTTTGTAGTGACCAGACGTGTTTTTGTTTTGCGCTCCGCTTCCTTTCCTTTTACAGCCGGTGTTTTTTCAAAATAAACCTCGATTAAAATCCTCATTTAACCTACAGTAGAAAATTTGTCCTATAACGCGATCTATATAGTATATACATATAGTATCTGTATATATAGTATCTGTCCTATATAGTTAAAAATTTGATTTTGAAATTAATTCTGTGCGTTGGTTAATCGTGTGTTTGTGTGTTTCTGTGTGTTGCTTTCAACGTAGTGCACGCAAAATGCGCTGGATTTTCTGGCCTTGTGGGTGATGCCGTTTCAAAGCGTAATGGTTTGCACTACAGTTGCGAGGCATGCCGTGCGGTGGAGAAAGAAATGGTAGCTTTTACGAGGCAAACGAGGAGTGGCTTTAAGGAGCTGACCGTTGGTTTTTTTTTTTTTAAACTAATACGATCGGCCCCTAGTCATGGAGGCTCAGTTTAGCGGTTTAAAACTGCTGAATGAGTCTCCGAGGCGCAAAAGGGTCACCCCGCGGGATCTGCAAGTGCCAATAGTCGCTCAGCCGCTCGTTGCCGAAAATCGGACTCCGACCACTCAAAGTGTGCAGCAGCTGATTTCGTTTGCCACCCCAAGGGCAACGACAGCTGCTGGCGATGCAGATTCGGTAGCCGAATTCATCGCTTCGGAGAATGTGCAGCCAAGTACGTCTGCAGCGTGCGTGTCCGTAGTGTCCGCAAGCTCACTAGTTGTCCCGTCCATCCCGATCCCACCAGTAAATAGACGTTTCGGACCTCCGGATATTGCCACCACAGGTACTAGGCCTGTGGTGCCCAAACCACTGGGTGGAGTCCCACCAAAACGACAAGTTTTTGTCTCACGGCTGGCCTCTGATCTCACATCGAATGATGTAATTACTTTTATTCAAAGCAGAATAAAAAGCCGTGGGTTTAAAGGTGGAGAAGTTCAACTTTTCTTATGCCAGGGAGATAGCCACTTTTAAGATAAGCGTCTCCCGAACTCAGTTTGACACCATTTGCTCTGCCAAATTTTGGCCGGAGCATTTGGTGGTGAAGGAGATTAAGGCTAAGAAGAAGAATAGGCCCCCCATATCCCTTCCAAATCTTTCCAGTGTGCCACCCTCAACCTCAACTTCCTCTTCCTCAACTTCCCGTCTTGCTTCCACCTTTCCAAAAAACTAACTTCTCTTTTAGTAACCTATCAGAATGTAAGAGGCTTGCGTAGTAAGCTCAGCATTCTTTTCCGGGATAGTGTTGCATTTGCTTCTTACGTTATTGTGTTTACTGAAACCTGGTTAAAGCCGGACATTATAATTCTAATTGCAGTGGACTCTTACTTCACGTCAGAACACTTCACAGTCCAAGTTCAACAGGAACTGGAATTCCTGTGTGTAAAACTGATTCTTCCCGCTTTCGCTATATTCATTACTTGCTCGTATATCCCACCTTCTTCGGATATTTCAATTTATGAGCAGCGCTTGTCCGCTTTAACCGCTGTTTCTTCCTCGCTATCTGATAAAGATCGTATGATAGTTCTTGGTGACTTCAACTTGCCAGGAACTGTTTGGTCTTCGGTAAACGAGTCTAGTATCCTAGTGCCCATGCCACGACATGACTTTGTTGACGGCTTGCTTGACCTGTCCCCGTCTCAAGTCAATCATGTGAAAAATTCCTTGGGTCGATTGCTTGATCTATGCTTTGTATCGGATCCGGCCATAGTGTTGTTAACCCGAGCCCTTCCGCTCACTATACCTGAAGACGCCTACCACCATACTTTCGAGGTGTCGCTAGATATAGGACCAACTGTATTGGATCGGTCGAGTAGGCTACCTGAACGTGTCCGCTGCTTTCGTAAAGCCGAGTTTGCGAAGCTTAATAACCACATTAGGGATTTTGATTGGTCCGCTTTGTACTTGTGCACTGATGTCATAAAAGGCACAAACCTTTTGTACAATGCTCTTGGCACATTTTTTTATTCTTGTGTCCCGCTTTCTTGTCCGATTAGATCTGAAAAACCCATTGGTTTACCAAAGAGTTATTCAGTCTAAAAAACTTAAAATCAAGACTTTATAAAAAATTTCAAGAAGTGGGCTCTCCTACTTCTCACTCTCGTTATGTAATTAATAGCTCGGTCAAACTTTTCAGTTCTTAATGCTCAATGCTATAAGAACTACCTATCTCGTTGCAGGTTACGTTTTTCTCAGGACCCTAAACAGTTTTACTGCTTCGTAAACAGTAAGCGTAGAACGTCCGCACACCCATCCGCGCTATCATTTCGTAATACTTCGGCAAATAATGATCAGGCAATTGCCGATCTTTTTGCCGAATTTTTCCAAACGACCTATTCTGACGAAAGCTACTCTGGTCACCCGTACCCATACGGTTTACCGAAGTCGAACGGCATTTTCAGTCCCTTGTTAAATGAATGTTCCTTACTTCATGATCTTCAACTAGTTAAGCCGGTGTTTTCACCGGGTCCAGACGGGGTTCCAGGTTGTGTACTCAGGTACTGCGCCGAGGCTCTGTGTGGACCTTTGCTTAAACTATTCACCCTGTCCATTGATTCCTCTTGCTTCCCCCCGATCTGGAAGGAATCGTTTATAATTCCTCTCCATAAAAAAGGTACCAAGTCTGATGCAAAAAATTATAGAGGTATAGCAAAGTTATCCGCTATTCCTAAAATGTTTGAGAAGGTTTTAACTCCGCACTTTAAACATCTCTGCAAGTCACTTATATCTCCAACTCAGCATGGATTTATAAGGCGGCGATCAACCACCACCAACTGGTTAGAGTTCACCTCTTTCATTATTAAAGGCTTTCAAGGTAACTTACAGACGGATGTAATTTACACCGCCTTCAGTAAAGGAATGCCCGCCCAACCTCCTGAGATGGATTTCTAGCTATCTTTGTTCCAGGTCTCAAAGAGTCCTCTTCAAAAACTCCCTCTCTTTACCAGTAAAGGTTTCTTCGGGAGTACCACAGGGCTGCCATCTAGGCCCCTTACTCTTTACACTCTTTATAAATGACTTGCCTTCGGTATTAACATATTCTCGAGTACTTATGTATGCGGATGATGTTAAACTCTGTGTCCAGTATAAGGACATTTAATTTCATTCTTGCTTGTAATGCGATCTCAATAACTTTCAGTCATGGTGCTGTGCAAACTTGTTACAACTTAATGCAGCGAAATGCAAATTAATGACATTTCGTCGTTCTAGCCCCTTGTTGGCTCCCTATACTCTATGTGGCGTTTCTCTTGAGAGAATTCCCCTGGTGAATGATCTTGGTGTCGTATTAGACGCAAAGTTAAAGTTTTCCGAACACATTTCTACCATGGTAAATAAGGCCATGGGCGTGCTTGGGTTTATAAAGAGGTGGTCATTGACGACAATTTGACGACCCCTATATAAAAAAGACTACTTATACTTCGCTAGTTCGTCCGATTTTAGAATACGGCTCCTGTGTATGGTGCCCTCAGTACAAAGTACACCAGGACCGTATAGAATCAGTACAGAAAAACTTTTAACTCTTTGCTCTGCCATCTTACTCTAGTAGACTGCTAATAGTAAACCTCCCATTCTTAGTTAATCGTAGAAAAATGCTTGGTGTGATATTTATGCACAACTTGATCATGGGTAACGTAGATAGCCCTGATCTGTTTAGCCGCATAAACTTCACGATTCCTATTAGATTCGCTAGAAGCTAAATACTATTATTGTCTCTTCCACCTTGTAGATCGAATTATTCCTTACATGAACCGTTTAGGGTCTTCTGCTCGGATTATAATTCCCTCTACCATATTATATCCACCACTAATTCTCTTCCTCTTATTAAATTACTAATCCTTACACACCTTTCTAGTAATTAGTAATTGCAGTGGTATTTGTATTTGTATTTTGATTGTATGCTTAGTTTCTTAGTAAGTTTAGTGCTAATTTTCCTCGAATGTTAGTCTAACAGCTCTCTTTCCTGCATGCTCGCGTTCGGCTCGGCTACGCGCCGCGCGCTATGCGGCAGCGTCCCTCGGTCGGTTGGGCGGGA